CGGGCCGGGGGACACCGCGCGGGCTGAGCTCGTCCTGCCGCCGGGTTCGCTCCGGGTGGAGAAGCATCGGGATGGTTTTTCTACCCATGTCAGGCGATGTGGGCATTAAAGAGGATGAGCAGTTATTTTTCTTTCCCCCCACCCGGTGCTCGCTGGCCTTAGCGTCTTCGCCTGCAGCGCTGCTGTCTCTAAAAGTAGTGTTGGGGTTCCCCATTATAGCTGTTTTTCAAGGTAGTTTGTAGGAGAATTGCGAGATGCTGGGTTATTTGGAATAGCTTCCGTGTTGCTGTTTGATTTTTTTTTTCCAATTGAGGCGCGCTGAGCGCTTGACACGAGGTTTTCTTGCTGATTCCCTCGCCAATTGTTTGATTTTTTTTTTCCAATTGAGGCGCGCTGAGAGCTTGACACGAGGTTTTCTTGCTGCTTCCCTCGCTAGTTTACAATGAGGCTTAAGTAAACTTGCTGCTGTCCACTGAAAGCAATAGGTTTAGTTCAGATCAAAGCAATAGGTTTACTTTGGATCATTCTCCAAGACGAACTATCATATTAATAACCCTTCGTTTCAGGTTTACTTTAGATCATTCTCCAAGACGAAGTATCATGTTAATAACCCTTCGCTTCAGGTTTGCTTTAGATCATTCTCCAAGACGAAGTATCATGTTAATAACCCTTCGTTTCAGGTTTACTTTAGATCATTCTTCAAGACAAACTATCATGTTAATAACCCTTCGTTTCGCTTCTTCAATTTCTCTGCCATTCCCGGTCACAGTTTTCACACCTGGTCGCTATTTCCGGTGAATAAATTATGTACAACGTGGTATATAAATAGATCTCAGTTTGTCACTTCAGTTACTCATGCTAAGCACACATTATTTCTGATGGCGTTGGGTTTTAAGACATTACATCTAAACTCAGGGGTTTGGTGTAGAGCAAGTGCTGCGTTTGAATAAACAAAACTTGCCAGTCTGTTTGCCAGGATGATCTCAGACTTGTTGCTCACCCCCAGCCCTCTCTGTGCACTTGGCTTTTGCTGCTGTTAAAAATATCAGCAGCTGCCAAGTTGTATTTTTCTTTGTGATGGCTGGTTGAGGGAATGGCTGACGTTTCAGTGCAGCATCTCTTGCTTTCCTTGCACTAGTTTTTAAGATGAACAGGGAGTTACTGTGCATGGCAATATATGCCAGAAGGCAGTTATGCAGTTAGACCTAGTCTTTTAGGAGTTTTGTTGCTGTTCTTCCATGCTAGAAATCTGGGGGGGGGGGGGGGGGAAATTCCAGGAAGTTTGACTGCATTTATACTCAATTCACTGTGAGACACACTTGCAGAAGCAAAAGGATTTGTAGATATTGCCTACTAGCAATAACCACGTGCACATGTATTTTGTTTGCCCCTCATTGGATCAGTTTAATAAGAAGCAAAGCTCCTGCCTAATAGGATGAGTTGGTGGCAAAATGCTCATCTCTGCTGTGCTGAGAGAGAGAGAATGTTGTTACCAGACATCAGCTTTTATCTTTCTTTTGGGAATAAATGTATGCAAATACCTTATAGCTTATTTCACATGTGGTAGCATTGTTACAGGGTTGGGTTTTTTTCTGTGGCAGGAAAGCAGAAACTGAAGTAATCAAAAATTGAGGACAGTAACTCTTGGGAGAAGTAGGTGGTTTCTTCCTCAGAGTCCAAGGGATGGCAGACACAAACCCCTGACTGTCAAGAACACCATGATTCAATAGTATATGCAACTACCGAACTGAATTGGACTTATTTGGAATTGTGTACCTGTGTGCTTGTAGTGCCTTTTGGAACTGGGGCCTGTGGTCCTAAAGTGGAAGCATTTAGTGCTTAGAAGCAGGTAACTAGAAAGAAATGGAAGCATTTATAAACATCTGATCATCAATATTTGGGGATTATATATTTTTGAAGCCTGAATTATGGGAGTGTGTGACTGCTGGTGCCTAAATTATAGGCATGTAAGTAGTTGATCTGAGTGGGGTTTGGCATCTTTAGCAGTTTGGAGACTGTGTGAGATGATTTTGTCAGACAAGTGCCAGTAACTGTACACAAGTCTTTGCCTTCTCACAGCCCTTTGACCTATATCCAGGATGGAAAAAAAAATCTAAAGGATCTTGGCAGGACAGTAACCTTTTATAAGGATTGAGCCATTCACCTTGCATGATAGACTACTTCCAGTCAGACTTGTTTGGTCGGTTTGCTAGGGGAAGGTCACCTTAACAATGAAGTTGACTTGGCAGGGGTCACTTGACACCTGATGGAAGATCATGGGACAGGACAGATGACTCGTGAGCCGCGGAAGAGCAGGAGCTCGTGTTTGCTGGCCTTGCCCATTTGCTGGCCTTGCCCATTTAGGGTTGCTCAGCTGGTGGATGAGTGATTTCGTTAGGATGTTTAAGATAGATGATAAAATAAACTCTCTTGAACGTGGAGAGAGTACAATTTGAGAATATGCCTTGGAGCCTCGGGATTCAAGGACGGTGTCCAGGGTCAGTTAAAGCACTGCAAATGTTGCCTCAGTTATGGACTGTAGCCTGCTCTTCTGATAACACTTTCAGGGCAGGTTAGTGAGGTGTGCACAGCCAGAATTTGCCCCTCTCTGTTTTGTTAGAACCAGTTGTTAATTAACCTGATTGCCCAACTTGAACTTCCCAACTGCAGAATTTGGGAAGAGATGGGAAGTTACCAGACAGAGGGGTTCATACAGCTAGGAACTTGCTGTAGAAAAATGGGAGGTAAAACTTGTGATTTAACTGAGGGGATTTTACAGGGACAGTGGTAGAGCTAGGGTTAATATCATTTAGACTTGCATATTGTGACCTCCACTGCTGCTGTTATCAGGACAAGTGTACGAGTTGCTGGGCTTTGTGCTTTACTTGTAAAGCAGTGGTGGGAAAGCAGACCAGCTGTGATATGGTCCTACAACAGTTGTTGCAACATAATGGGAAATGAGGAATTGGAGAAGCCAGTCAGGAGACTGTTCTTGGATTCAGATACTCAAGCTAGACATGTCTTCACTTTTCTAATACTACATTCAAAGGCTGAAAAAAGAAGACAGCTAAGGCATTTAAGTGTTAAATAGTAAGGGAATTAATGTCTCACTCAAGTAGTACACACTGCCAAAGTTTCTGCTGGCAGGCTGAAAATCCCAGTTGGAGAGTTGCTGAATCAGTTATTTCTGTCTTGCTCTGTCAACAGTAAACACACAGAATGTGTAGTGAAGTTCACAACTGGAGGCAATGATTTGCCAGGATCCAGACTTTGTGTATACATCTGTAGTAGTAAATGTGCTTTTGTTTGAGGAGCTCAAAGCACTGTCTGAGGAACACATACCTGTGCTGTGTTGAGTATGATTCATGCTGTTTGTGTGGATCTGGGATTTGGGGGTTGAGCTGGTGAGCTGTACACCATTGCAGCAGACACGACTCTGTGTGCATGCAGATACAGAATGTCAGCTTGGTAGGAGGTGGCTGACAGTTGTGCCTTCTGTATCACCTCCTGAACCCAGCGTGTGCAGTGCTTTTAGAGAAGTAAATTCCAGGCTTTTAAGACATATCTTTTTAATGGTTTAACTGAAAAAGGTCTACTTAGGATACTATAACTATTTTTTAGATACTGCTGTTTTTTAGCCACTACTTAGAAAGTGACTTTAGCCCTGTGACAGCACACACCTTTAGTATAGCAAGATGAGTTGTGCCATATCAAAACCTCTTGGAGCAACACGACTCTATTTGGTTTAGTTGTCAGCTATGAGTTTATTACAAGCAATGTCAATAATAAATGTAGAGGAGTATATAACTAGATTCAAAAAGGTAAAGTATTCTTGCCTCCTAATAAACTGTGCAGTTTACACACACACACGCACACACACAAGCCTCAGACTGGTGACTCTATTGCATGTTTTAAATATTTTTGTGTCTGCTTCGTAGGTTATCAGTAATTGTGAAGCTCCCTTCTTATCCCAGGAAAGTTAGGTTAACAGATTTAATAAAATTGCATATTTTTCTTCCATATAGTACCTACAGAGAGAGGGAAGGCTGCATTTGTCCCTCCTCTTGTAATTCTGATTAATTTCATTATTGCTTAGAGAGTTGAGAAGTAAAACTGATCACTGTCCTACAAGTTTCACTCTGTGCTGTTCTTGGGGAGAAAACAAGACTAACCATAATGGAATTGTCTGCTTGCAAATTCACAGGATGCTATTGCGATCATTAAATTATGTTGGGTTGGCTGCATAACCATAAAGCTTATAGCTTCTGCAACGTGTAAATGCTTCTTGGCTTTAAATGCCTCTCAGTATTGTACAGCAATTGATGGGTCAGTCATCTTAGCAAAGAAGTTTCCTGTCTCTCAGAGGTGAAAATTATCTGTCTTAAAAAATTTAATGTGTCACTTCTACCTCTGCTTTGAAAATATAATCGATTTGATATGGGGAAATACAGTAACCTAAACTGTCGCTGGATAGCCAATAAGCAGACAAAATAAATAAGGATGTTGTCAGTAAACACTTCAGCCCCACCTACTCTAGATATATTTGAGGGAAAGCAGCAGGTGTGAATGACTGGTATTTTTCCACTTGTTTTCCTAGATCAAAAATGTTACATCGTAACTGGTCAAGTAACCTGTGAATTTCTGATTATTTTAAAGACAATCTCTTTTTTTTTCTAGGGGAACATAATTTTTTAAGACTGTTTTTGTTTTCTTTCCTGCAGGGGCTCTGCGGTTGCCAAAATAGTAGGCAGTAATGTGAAAAAAATGCAGAAGTTTGCTTCCACAGTGAAGATGTGGGTCTTTGAGGAGAATATTAATGGGAGAAAACTGACAGATATCATAAATAATGAACATGAAAATGTAAAGTATCTCCCTGGACACAAGCTGCCAGATAATGTGGTAAGGCTCAGAAGCTAAATTATAGTTACGGAGGAGAGGGAATATCACTTGTGCAATGTATGGAGGTGGAAATTTGTTAACACCTTTAAGGTTTATAATATTTCAGACTGTATGCTGTTTTACTGATGGCACAAGTAAAAAATTATGTAATCATGCAGTTAAGTAAGTCCAATGCACTGTACCCTCTCTCTTTTTTTTTTATTTTGTCTCACTATTGTCCTTATGCTACTTCAGCTTCTGTCTAAGGAAGGAAAAATGAAAAAAGGGCAAGATTAACAGCTTTGACTATACCCATTAAAACAAAAAAACACGTGCTTCAACTTTGGAAGGGAGCTGGCTGGTCAATGAGAATTGAAGAGATGTCAGCTATTCTAAAACTCTGTACAAGTATTTCAGGATAAGAATTAGAGTGTTTCCCAAGCAAACTGCTTTTCTGTTGTCTTTCAACCACGTGCAGTCAAATCAGCACATTAGAAAGTAGCATTGCCAGGGCAGAACAGCTGGACACCACATGTGTTCTGTGTTGGTGTAACATGATGGTGTTGGACAGGTGATGACTCTTGCCCCAAAAACATTATAGGAGGAGGCTGCAGCAGCTGACATTTCAGTAGAGCTTTTGGACAGCAAAAACAGGAATGGCTGTGCATTGCAGTTTTCTCTTTCACAATAATGCTGAAATCCCATTTTCCTACCCTTCATTAAGTGTGGTGTTTCTGCTGTCATCTACCTGCTCATTCAGGTTTGTTCTCTTTATCAATAGGTTGAACTTACTGCCACCTTTTAAACCTGAGTGTTCTTTTAAGGTGGTCATCAAGTGTTAGGTAAAAAGGAGTCTGGCAAGTGACTTAGAAATACCCTTCTTAAAGAGTAAACAAAATCTCTAAGTACAGAGAAGAAGCATATAAACTAGTAGATGTGAGAGGCCTGGAGAAGACATTTGAGTGTATAAGGAACTAAGAAAACAAACTACTTCCTAAATTCTTTTGCTTATCTGGGAAGTTTATGTTAATGTTTATTTTCAGTGATGAAGCACAGTAGTTTGTAGCATTCAGTGTAAGACCAAACTGCTGAGGTTCAGGTTCAAGACCAAACTGGGAAAGTTCATGTTGGACATTAGGAGGAATTTCTTCACAGAAAGGGTGATTATACACTGGAATGGACTGCCCAGGGAGGTGGTGAAGTCACTATCCCTGGAGGTGTTCAAGAAATAACTGGACGTAGTTTACATGGTGGTGTTAAGTCATAGATTGGCCTCAGTGATCTCAGAGGTCTTTTCCAACCTGATGAATTCTGTGATTCTGCTTTTACTTTATCTGATAACACTTGCATGTAGTGTTAATTTTAAGAAGTTATGTGGCCTTTCTCTCCCATAACTACACAGGTTGCTGTCCCAAACCTTAATGAAGCTGTAAAGGATGCAGACTTGCTGGTTTTTGTCATTCCACATCAGTTCATCCATAAAGTCTGCGATGAAATCACAGGACGAGTACCCAAGAAAGCACTTGGCATAACTCTCATAAAGGTATAATAAACACTGTGCATTAATAACTAAGAATGTGTCATGGAATCTCCTAAAACAAAATGTCTTAGTATTTTGATATGAAAAGTCTGTGTGTTAATTCACTTGATTGTTCCATTAAACCTTTCTAGGTGTAAGATTGGAATTTGTCTCAGTCTTTAGTGGATTGTTAGGCAGTGTTTTATTTTAGACTGGCACTTGCAGGAAGAGGAAAATGAGGCTGTTGACAAGACTTCTAGAAAGAAAGAAGTCAGTATGTTTTGCACCACTCATCTTTCCAGTCTTCTATCTGTTGTTTCCAGAAGCATCGTTAGATGAAGAACAGAGCACAAGCATAATGCTTTGATTGTTAATGCACATCCCACATGCTGAGTTGATAATTTTAAGAACTGCTGAGAGAATTGCACGTGACTGAAAGGATAGTGCTCTTGTTCAAGTCAAGTATTATGTTGCAACAAGAGAGTCTGTTCAGCATTGCCCAAAGCAACGGTTTGAACACAGGAAAAAGGAGGGGGCAGAGGTGCAGGAAGTGTTTCCCTGGAGTGTTTGTGTTTTTGCTAGCAGGAGAATTTTAAAATATGGAATAGCTTATTTATAGGTGGGTGGGTGGGTGAGGTTTTTTTCCCCTGTGTGTTTAGCTGCAAATAATAAGCTGCTCCCACAAGGTTTGGAAGATTCTGGTTTCTTGTTGCTTTGTACATAGTTGAGAGTAGGCCATTTTCTTATCACGCATTCCTTTGTTGTTTCTAGAAAATTATACATTTATGGATCTGTGATCAAAAAGAACAAAACTCCCCTATCACTGTTTATTGCAAGCTCATCTCTTTAGTTTGGCTAATTAAGCCTGTCAAATCTGTATTGTTCAGTTAGTGCTGACCTGATGTATTGCTGAGATGTGTGACAAAGTAATGATTCCCAAGTGCATTTTGCAGAAAAACTTTTCATATTATAGAGGGATAAAATAAGGCACTGTTAAAAGAGTTGAATGCATAGCTAAAGATAAACTTTGCTCTCCTTTAATTTGCTAAATGTGATTTATGTTCACTTGTCCTTAGTGATAGGAGTAACTAAGGAAATTGGTGGAGTAAATGAAGATTTATGTCAGCATATCAGAAGTCAGAGTCCTGGGCCTATATTCCCCTTGGAATTACTGTTCTGGGTATTGATTACCAGTGCTTTAATAGAGTGTTGATTACTGACTATGGTGTTTTTTTTTAAAAAAGGGGAGGAAATACCTTAAAAAATAATCCAAACCCCAAACAAAACAAAAAAAAAATACCCCCAACAAAGCAAAGTGCCTGTGTTCAGTGTAGTGGAAGTGAGATAGTGGCACCTGCTATGCAAAGCAGAGTTGGTTATTAGGCAGCTTCCCTGTGCCACAGTGCTCCACTGCATCCTTAGGCAGCTTTCAGAAGAAGTGGTGTGAGGGCCCTCAATGTTTTGCAGGAGAATGCAAAGCACATGTCAGCTTTTATGAAGAGGCATAACTGCATCATTAAAAGTATAGTTCAAGAATGAGATTTAAGAAGAGATTTAACACAGCAGTGAAACTAAGCAGTAGAGGCAGGAACGCATTCTTTCCTCTACTTTTGCATCTTCCTTATGGATGCTGTTTTCATCAGTGTCATATTCTCTGTGGTTTCATGCTCAGTACTAATGCTATTAAAGTGGCTTGTGTTAGCTTTGGCAGTAATAGTGCAGTTCTGCTCTGAAAAATACCATTAGTGGGGCATCTTGTATCTGTGCTTACTAAATTGCTTGGCAAGTTAGCAGTGTGTCACCTTTTAGTCTTTATTCTTTTTTTTATTCTTTTTTGCTTTTTTGACAGTCTAATCTTCAAGCAGAGCCTAATGTCTGATAATAAAACCGAGTCTTTGGGAAATGAAGACATTTGTCTGCTGGTTAATATGCATTTCCATTTAAACATTTGCAGCTCCGTTGCTTTACATAGGTTCTGATCACTCGTGTCTATGAAAACCTAACAAATCTCTGTGAGTGTGAGGGGAGGAACTGTGTACAACTTACAGTGCGCTGTAGCAGTGAACACAGGAAGCAGGGTAGGAGAAAGTCATGCAAAATACTCTTCAGACAGGCTCATTTTCCTTTACCTGTTAGTGGCCCCAGGGATTGCTCTGACAGGTGTGTTGGGATGCAAGTGATAAGGTCACAGAATTGGACTTGCACTGCCTGTGGACCGTTGCTCCCCAGTGGAAAGTCCCATAGCCTTGGTTTTGAGGAGGAGGAATGGGTGTTTTGTTTTTATTCTATCATCTGTCATCAGTATTGGATTGAACTCTACAAGAGACAGGTACAACTCTCCTTGACTTGCCAGAAGTTGCATCTTTTCATAGTGGAGCAGAATTTAGCACCTAAGCCTTTCTGATCTGCTTTCACTTGGACAGATAATTGTTGTGTAGGTATTCACATTTTTGGAATTGTTCCCAATGTGTGCATGCTTTTTTCTTTATTATTTGCCTGCTTAGGAAGAAGAACCTTAGAGTTATTTTGTGGGGACATTTTTGACACCGTGAGTGAAAAATACGGCACGTATACGTGTGCTTGCTCTCAGATTGTTTCTGTATGGCTCATTAAAGACGAGAAAGCAGAGCTGTGCAATAAGTGATACAGATTGAAAAATAATGCAGAAATGCAAGCAGTAGTTTAATGGGCTGGTTTTATACGGGCATTTCTGCATGTCTCTTGATTGCACCATGTTATTTGAGGAATTCTGATCTGTGGAAATGCAAATTACTGCCTGCTTGAAATGTCACTACTGGAAACATACAAGGGGGGGTGTGTGTATGTGTATGTCTGGAAGCAGTGGAGAATCACACATTTGCCTATAAGTCATGATGCAAAATTATCAATCCCTCAAAGTATCAAATCCTCAATGTTAAAAAATAGTACTGTATAAAAGGTGGTACACTATGGGAAAGAACAAACAATTTAATAGCTTGTCAATTTTCACCCTTTTTTAATAACGCAGTATAAATACAGGCTAAAAATATCCTGAGAAGTTTAATTATTCTCAGTCGTTCAGCTTTCTACATATCTGTGAATGGCTGTTCCATTTGTAGTAGTATTTGCAATCATTAAATGGGGTTTCTACAAGTAAACTGTTGTTGGTGTTATACACAAGGGAATCTGCCTGTGATCTTTCAGTTCAGATACCTGTTCACAAAACAAGTTATTCGGATGTCATTTTGTGAGTTTTGGTGCAATTTCAAGTCCAAGTGCAGGCCTGATTCATAACTGATGGATTAGCTATGCTCCACTGTCTTTGTTAAGGATACACTGATAATAAGCAGCTGAGATTCTGAACTAACAAAGCTGAGTGTTCAGCACTTCTTAGAATCAGGTCTTTGAGCATGGAATAAAAACTATTATCATCATCTAGAGTTTAGTCCTAATTCTTAAGGTGTTGCCTCCCATGATTCTAAGGCAGCTTGTAGAGGTCACAATAGAAGTTTCCCTGGTAGTACATCTGTCATCTTTAGTCTCAGTCTGAATAGGTCTTGTTTCACTTCTCACCCATGGACAAAACTAATTGTGTTCTGCTTGCTTCTCTACTGTGCCTAATGAATGACTTTTTAGTAATTCCATTTAATGTTGGCTGCAGGGAATAGATGAAGGCCCGGAGGGACTCAAACTGATCTCTGACATTATTCGAGAGAAGATGGGAATAGACATCAGTGTGCTGATGGGAGCTAACATTGCCAATGAGGTGGCAGCAGAGAAATTCTGTGAAACCACAATAGGTACTGTTCCAAGTTGTAAGAATGTTTAAAACATGCTCCTGCCCTCACATTTGCACACCAAGTAGCTCAAATTTAATTGTTTTTGACATGAGTTGGCCGTTATCAGAAAGTGTTGGTTGAATTTCCTAAAACGTTTACGCTTCCAAAAGTACTATCTTGGGAATAGAGGGAGAGGGAGGAGGACAATTTTACCTATTCTCACTAGGGTTGTGACCTTAGCATGGGAAATACAAAGCATGCTCTTTATCACCCTCCACATAACAAAGTGCTTCATTTTATTACTGCGCTTAAATTTTTTCTTGGGTCTGCATGGCTTTATATGGATAAATGATTTCTGTTCTGTTACAGTCACAGATGGTACCTTTATGCATGTTTGTTTGGGTTTGACTTTTTTGTTTGGTTGTTTTCTTAAGGTATCCACATCTTGTTTTAATTTCTCAAAATACTTTGTCCCCCCTAAAGTTAGGCATGGTTTTAGTTCTCTGTTGATGTCTGCACAGCTCTGCAGCATGAAGATGTGCCTAGTCTTGGATTTTACCATTTCTAGATAGGTAAATGTGTGTATGTGCACACAGGTGGTCATACATACAGAGTTCATGTTATTTTTTCAGTGTTTATTTTTGCACTGTTGTGCATTGTTAGCTTTGTCATTTACAGCTGTTGCATTGAACTTGTTTTTGAGTGGTTGAATTACTACCTCTTAGTGCTTAGAAACATTGCCATGCAGCACACTCAATTAACAAAACATCCTTGCCATGCCTTTATCAGTAGGGATTTTTCTGGAATGCAGGCTTGAAAGTCATTGGTAGAATTGCTCCTGCTATAGTCTTAATCCACCATTGTTTTATTATTAATTGTTCTTTTTAAAGAGAATGATCAAAAAATGCAGAGTACGTAAAGAATTCATGGAAATGTAATTTGGAATCTGTTGCTGAGCAGACAATGAATTATGAAGAAGTCTAGAGTAACTCAGTGCAGAGCTTTTAAGTGCAAGGTAGACGTGTCCTTGGTCCCTTAAAACAGGAATCTGCTTAAGGTGGAGATAGAACAACTTTATCTTTTCTTTTAAGTGTCTTAGCTTGCACCGGAAAGGCTAAATAACATACAAATCAATTAGTCATTTTTCTTAGCCTTCATTTCTCTCTCTCAACAGGCAGCAAAATCTTGGAAAATGGCCTTCTCTTCAAAGAACTCCTGCAGACTCCAAACTTTCGAATAACTGTAGTAGATGATGCAGATACAGTTGAGCTTTGTGGTGCTCTGAAGGTAAGATTAACTGTCTGCAGATGGTACAGAGATGAAATAGTGATCCTTGTAGAAAAAAGAAAGAGCGATTTTCATTTAAACAATTAAGTTTATTATGCTTTATATAATATATAAAGCTGCTGCATAACACTTCCAAAAGAACCAGGTCAGAAATCAGGGAGCAGCATGTTTTGAGAACTGGCTTTTAGACCCACGTCTCACCATCTCCAAAGTTCTCTTCCTACGTCTTTCACTTAGTTTTTACACAGTCACAAAACAGGGATTGATTTCATCTAAGTGGTCAGTATGTTTCTAAATCCATTTTAGTTCCCTTTTCCTTTTTGCAGCAGTATGTTCTCAAAAAGAAAGGGAGAAAGAAGTTGACATTAATCCTTTGTGTCTTTTGACAAAACTATTCTCTTCATTGACTTACACAATATGAGCGCTCTTACAGATTTATATTTTGTGGACATACACTGCATAACGTTTGTGGGGATAACCACATACAGAAATGACCTGAATAGGAAAAATGTTATTTCAGTTATTCATCAAAAATGTTTTTGGTAACAAAACTGATGCTGACAGGAAGCAAAGGCTAACTTAAACATACTCTAATTGCTATTTCTTCAAGTTAATTTACAGGACATATGTGAAGGGAAGGCATTAGTTGCTTGACACCCGTGCCAACAGTACTGGAGTTCACATTATCTGATACCTAGCATGAATCATTCTTGATGGGTGTAGTGGTTTAGTAGATAATTTGCCTTACTTTTTTATTCTTTGGATAATTATTTTGTCTTGCTTTGGTTTTGCTGTTGAAATCTTCTGTAAACTGCACCATTCACTCGCAAAGCTACCCCACCAAACAATGATGTCTTTAAGCTAAGGAGTTCAGATTCCTGCTCAGCAGAAGTGGATTGATAGCTATAATGGCATATTTTTTGGCATGTTGGTTTTCTGAATAGTTTTGTCTTGACAGCTGTCATGCTGGAAGTCCTGAGAAGGAGGAGGTTATGGATCTGTGCACTGGGATAATGGGATTAGGTGTTTTGGTGCAACATGCTTTGGAGTTACTGTATATATATAGCAATTTCTCAAGACAGTGGAGCTTGTAATTTGCTTTAAAATGCCATTGCTTTAAAATGCTGTGGTGATGTGGGAGGTTAGCAGAAAAGAAATCCCTGTGTATAGACCTATGAAATTAGTCAAAAAGTTTTACAGATTTATTTTTCTTTGAAATTTGCTCAGCAGGATATTTTCTGACTAGCTTAATTTCTGGCTGATAGAGAAGTTCTGTCCCAGGAAATTTTTATTCCAGACAAATCTCGTGAAAGGGCACTAGAGATGAGCACTCCCATCCAACTGAGCAGCTAGTCAGTAGACACTCAAAACTCTACTATAAAGACCCAAGACAGGCCAGATACCTGTATCTCTTTGGAAGTGCAGAAGAATTTAAATCAATTGTTGTTCTTGACCTGGAAAGATAGCAAAGTGAAACTTGGGTATTTTCTTTGTAGTCATCTTGTATTCCTCCTCCCTCCTGCTTCATTATTCATCATGCATCCTGCAGACTGAACTCTAGTTGCATTTCTGAAATGGTCTATATTCCATGTGCTCTAGTCATTTAGTTTTAATTGCAGTGTATTTTGTTAACTGAGCTGAGACTTTCAAAGAAATTATAAGCTCTGAACAAAAAGTGAATTAAGGATAAATTAACTGGTTTAAAAATACTGTGGATTTCTTGCGTAACTAGAAGACAGAACTGGTATAAAGTGGCATAGATCAGTCCTGCTAGTATAGGTGATGTTCTTTAAACATAAAACTCTTCCTTAATCTGAAATAAAATCATATTTTTTAAAGTAATTTTTAATTTAAAACCTTTTCTAGTTTTCCTAAATCTTGTGTTGAATCCTAAATCTTGTGCTGACAGCATGTAAATAATTTTCTGAGCTGTTTTTAACTCAAACATTGCAAAATTTTATTAATGCATTGGGAACATGTATAGCTCTGAGAGGAAATAACGAAGCTAAAATTAAACAGATGGAAATATTTTTATTGCCTGTGCAAAGCAAAATGCAAAACCCAGATGTAATTACCTCTTTTCCTTAGAAGCTGTACATAGTATTAGAAGAATTGTTTGCTAAGGGTAGGAACAAGAACTTGGGGTCCTTATAATTAATTTGATAATCTTTGTAATAAAAATGTGAAAACTAAGCATCTTTTCACATGATTGTTTTTAGGCAAAAATCCAATGCGTAGCTTCAGTCAACTGACCATTACTTTCTTAAACTTGGAAAATTACTTCATGAAAAAGTAGTAAAAATTGCCGGAAGGAGGGAATTTCTGTTTAAGAAGATGACAGTGTTGTGTGGTGTGAAAATACAGGTATAAAAAGAGAGGTTCTACTCTCTTTCTCTAGCAAAGCCAATTCAAAATGTCAGTAGTGTCACTGCAAACTACAGCTAGGAGGACAGAGGTAAGCAGGCAGTCATGTCACTCTGGACTGTCTTTTTGGGTATGGAAATAGTAAGAGCAACTCCTGTATTGGTATTTGAAGCATGAGAAATAGTACAATATGAAAAACAGTATGTTCTCACAGCTTCTGCATTTTTCTGTAAATACCAACTTGGGAAAAGGAGACCTTTCTGGTGGTACTGGCATAATGGACTAGATGTTAAAAGCCTGGGCTCTACTTCCCTTTTTATTTCTGCAAGCCTTTCTAAAGAGGGAAGATTTTCAATGTGGATGCTTGCCTGAAGGCTGGGAAAAAATACAGAAGGATAACAAAGAATGCTCTGAGCACAGCTTTCCCTTACAAGGATAATTTTAGGTTTGAAAATTGTTTTTTGAAGCACATTTGAATTCAGACTGTAATAATAGGTATTGCAGCTGGGTGATCATGAGAGAACATGTGCTTGATTGCTATTTATATACATATGCATATATATAGAATATCCACTTCATTTACTGTATTTAGGTTTGTGACAATGGGCTGATGGAGACATAGTGAAGTACAGAAATCAGTGCAGTCAAACTGCAGTCGTGTGTCAGCTTGGAGCCTGTCTGAATAGAAAGTGGCAGTGACTTTACAAAATCTGATGATGCTGAGGAGAAACAGCTGTCTACAGTAACTTGTTGGCTGTTGGAACAAAATGTGCCTGGCATGTTCTTATCTATGAGGTGGGATTTTTTTTTCCTTTTGAGGACTGAAGCACATTTCACATTTGTTTGTTGACCTTTTCTAAGGGTCGAGGTCAGAAGTTAACAAACTTCCAGTCTGGATAGTTGTTTCAAAGTGTCCGGTTGGCTTTACAGACAAGCTGACTCAAGGCCACTTAGAAGTTCATCTGCCATTTGCCAGATGATGAATGGGCCTTCCTAGGAAAGGAAGGTTTTATACCACTGTAAAAGTAGCATGTGCAGCTATGCATACATATGGATGTGCTTCTGGATGCTGATGGATGTGATACTGCAGAGTAGCACAGACCCAAGGTTCTTGCCTCTGAGGTGTCCTTAGAATCCTTACTGCCTGTGCCAGTGTGCGTGGCCTTACAAGCAGCACAGATGTGAGGCAAGACTGAGCTGGTGTATGAGCCTAGCAGCATACTTGAGAGGCACCGTAAACATTGGTAGCTACATTATTAGGGGTAAACTGTACCCAAATCACCAGTGCCAAAGTGCCAGGGGAGAGCATGAGAGGAGGAGTGAGAATCTAACCTCTGGATATAGCAAAACGGCCATGATCCAGCTGCCCAATGTTCAGGGATCTGGAGAGTTAAAAACCCTCAAGTGGCAGCAGCCAAGGACCAAGACAGATGTGACAGTTACTGCAGGGAGGAGAAGGAGCAGCAGCTGTGGTTGCCTTTCAGGTCGCTTCAGGCCCATATAAATCTTATGGCTCCAGCTTAGCCTTAAGTGAAGAAGTCACTAGATGTATTGTTTACCAGGTTATGTCACGCAGCATTGTTTTTGCAAAGTGTGTTTAGGGCAGTCACTGTTGGATAGTCAGTCCAGGTACTGTAGAAGTGGATTGTGTAGTTGCTCTTTCCTGGGATTAAGTGGAAATGAAATTCAAGTTTGCCAGGAGCAAGCAAGCAGCTTATGCTTAACCTCTCAGACAGTCCTGCTGATACTGTCTTTGATTTTTTGAGTCTTCATTTGACCTCTCTCAGCTATGATCTGAAGCGAGGAGCTTCTCCAAGTTCATGTGTAAGCAGAGGGCAAGCAGGCTGTGCAGAGCTGTACCACTACCTCTGGGAAGGCTGGACATCCCAGATGAAATAACATTTCTGCTTAGTTCTCTTATTGATCCATTTAATTATGGAGAGGTAACAGTTGGCTCAGAAGTGGCCACTGAAGCTGTCCTCATGAGCACTCCACAGACTGTAAATTGGGTGTTTCAGAGCACTGACTGTGTAAGAGAACAATCTGTCAGCAAAGTCTGCAGACTTCTTGTTGTTTTCTTGGTCGTCTGTTGGCCTTGCATTTGTGACCCCTGGCATGTTTGCAGCAGGTCACGTGCAAGTAAAAGACACTTTTTCTCATTTGTTCTGACACATACTGTGAGCACTGCCTGGCATCAGCATTTCTTTTCTGGAGCATAGTTTCACCATCCCAGTGCTAAAAAAAACTGAATCCATTCCTTCCTCATGTTCTGGAATAACTAGGACTAGGACTAATGCCAGTTTATGGTTACCAGACCATCTAAAGACTTGCCTGTTAGGGCAAAGTATTTCAGTAGTTTAAAACCATATGCAATATAAAACCACGCTGTGCATCTTGCTTACAGGATGTGTGCTCTAATGCAAAAAGCTGATAATGTCAAGATAGGGGAAATGTGTTTGTTCAAGTGTGTAGTGGTTTTGAGAGCTCTGAATCCCTCAGGCCAAGAGGAACATTGTGTTGCATTCATTTTGGGGTTATTGTGACACTATTTTTGAACCTTTGGAACAACAGGTTTGTCTGGAGGCCAGAGTTGTCCTTGCTTATTTGGCTTTCAGACTCCCATGTGTGTATGCAAATACAGTCAGATTTTAAGCTCATGAAAATGTGGACTCTTTCCTCTGGCATAAATACATACCCATTGCATTTGCAGGAATTCCTGTTGTGGTTTAATCCCATCTGGCAACTAGGTACTGCACAGCTGCTCGTTCACTAATCCCCTCCCCCTCAGTGGGATATGGGGAGGAGAATCAAGGGTAAAACTCATGGGTTGAGATAAGAACAATTTAATAACTGAAGCCAAGTAAAATATAATAACAATAGCCACAATAAATAATAGTAGTCGTAATGAAGAGGAGAGGGAGAAAACCCATGAAAAACAAGTGATGCACACTACAGTTGCTCACCACTCACTGACTGATGCCCTACCAGTCCCCAAGCAGCAAGTGATGGCTTCCAGCCAGCTCCTCCCACTTTATGTACTGGGCATGACTATGTCAATTCTGTGGTAGGGAATATCCCTTTGGCCGGCCTGGGGGAGCTGTCCTGGCAGTGCTCCCTCCCCAGCTTCTTGTGTACCTCCTCACTGGCAGAGCGTGAGACACTGTAAAAGCCTTGACTTGGAGTAAGTACTGCTCAGTAATAGCGAAAACATCAGTGTGTTATCAACATTATTCTCATGCTGTGCTCAAAACACAGCACTGTACCAGCTACTAAGAAGAAAATTGACTCTGTTCCAGCTGAAACCAGGACACTTCATGTGTAGGCTTTTGCAGTGGCAGCATTCAGGATCAACCATGTCAGATACAGAAAGATGTTTTTGTCAGATCAGTGTATGGTTCTGCCCCCCACAGTGAGCTTCTGGGATGATCACTGTAGTCTTAGTGCCACTAGGCCCGTGTGTGTTAATTTCTGTTTTGCTTATGCATCTTCCTGAAACGAACTCAGCTTAGTGCCTGCACTCAGAGATTTCAAGTACCAAACTGCCTGTTTTGGACTGAAAGATGACTCAGTCTTAAGTTTTGTGAGATATTTTTGTTGTTGTTTTGTTTTTGAAAGGAGTGGCTTGCCTTTGAGTAGGGTGTAAATTTCAGTGTGGTATAATTAGTTCTCTACAGTATATTAGACACAAGACAGTTATCAGAAGTTCTTCAAGGATTTAAATGAAACCAGGTGGTAGAGCTTGTAAATTCATAGTTGTGGCCTGAAGGTTATGTAGACCAGGATATAAAGGTCTCCTAGGCATGGGGGTGTGTTCTAGAGCATAATCAGTTGTCTTGTTTCCTCATTATCTGCAAACTGTATGAGAACACACAATGGGGATATTGTACAAACAAAGAATTTAGTGTTCCAGAATTGGACTCACAGCTTCCCTTGTTCCCCACCCCATTTCCTCAGAAGTAACTAGTCTTGGCATAGCTTGCTTGAAAGAATATTTCTGTTGCTCCAAAGACAGCAATTGCAAAAGGTAGAAGTAGACAACAAAATACCATAGACCAAATCATGTTGTAAATTATGATCAGGTAGGCTGTTTCAAATTGGAAAGGAAAGTCAAGCAGACAAAGTTGTAGGGAAGGGGAAGCTTTTGTATTGGAGTGTTCAAGAAGTATATGGGAAAAGCCCAGAGGTTGCTCAAATACGGTTTTAGTTTTAGTGGAGCACTAAATTCTTGCAGAATTCACATATGTGTAAAGTCCATTTAAATGGGTTATCCTATCAGAAAACTTCTTAAATATCTGTTTGACTTCCTCTTGCTTTGCTGCCAAATGAACAAACATTGGAGGTTGCTATGCAAGAGGTGTCTGAGGAAAATATACCTTGACTGAATCACCACAGCCAAGATTTAAGCCAAGATGATCTAAAGTACCAGCTTTAAAAAACTGTCTTTTCCTGCTTGAGATCCAATATTGAGATACCTGTTTGCAATTTTTAGGGTCACCTTTATACCTCAGCTAGCTGCTCAAAAAGCTATGACTGATCCTGTAACCTCATGTGATGCAGAGTCACCTAGCCATGACTGGCAACACAGCTCAGCAGCTGCCTGGTGTTTTTGGTTCTTGCAGTCCAAAAACCAAAAACAAAACCAGCTGTTAATCAGCTGGTTGCTTTCATTAGCAGCTTCTGACTGTTGCTCTTTCTTCATCTACAGCTCAAGTTGGTTTGGTTGGTTGTTTTGATGCTGTTTTTTATCCCTGCATCAGGCGCTACATTAGGAGCCACAGTATTGGTTCTCTTGTGCTTCCTCTTGAGGTCACTGCTGATGTTGTTGCATGCAGTAGGATGGATATTACTACATCCATTGTTTCCTTCTTTTCTTTATTAGTATGTGAGAATACCATCTGTTTTTCTGGAGTGTTTCAGATTTCGGTAGTTTGTTGGGGTGACTCTTTTTTTTGGTAGAGGCAGTGGGACCATGGCTGGTCTCTGCTCTGACTCCAGGCGTCAGAAAAGAGCTTTCATAGTCACTTCACTCAAATGTGTCTCATCTAATCTCTGTGTTTGTAAACCAAAGAAGGGACCATATAGCTGATTGTTCATGAAGAAACAGCACATTATTTGTAGAAGGCTGTCACCAGGTCTAAGGGAAAAAAATCAAACAAAGACTTTTGTTGTTAAAGAAGGTCTTCCTGTGTCACGAACCTTCTGGGAATCCTTGATTAACTATTACTGTTATAGGAACTGCATACTTAAAAGGGCTGAGTACTACTGTCTTCTCTGAATTTGTTCCCTTAACGTGTCAGTGTGGAAGTCAATAAATGATTCTTAGATGTAGTATTACTGTAACAATAAAGGAAATCTGGATAAAAGGACTGTAGGATGTCAGTCTAACTTTCCCCCTACCCCAGGGCAGGAATAGCTCAATCTAGCTAAAACCTTGTTTGGGTGTAGTGCATCCTGTTTGTTCTTAAACATACTCAACAATAATAGCTCCACAGCCTCAGGGGCAACTTGTGCCACAGCTTTAAATATGCTTTTATCCTTGGAAATAATAACGTAAGACTTCTCATATTTTTTCTTTTCTTTTTTTTTTTTAAAAGTTATCCCATAGACAACAAAATCCTAAAACCAAAACAAGCCAAACCAACAGTCTAGTCTTTCACTAGTAAAGTGTTTGTAGTTCTTAAGGACAGCTGCACTCTGTCTTTTGGTGTTTCCTAGGATTCTGTGAGCAGTAATTGACTTGTTTCCCATTTCTCTTCCCATTAGAACATAGTGGCAGTAGGAGCTGGGTTCTGTGATGGCCTTTGCTGCGGCGACAATACCAAAGCTGCTGTTATTCGCCTTGGCCTGATGGAGATGATCGCCTTTGCCAAAATTTTTTGCAAAGGACAGGTGTCTACTGCCACTTTCCTGGAGAGCTGTGGAGTTGCTGACCTCATCACAACGTGTTATGGTGGCCGGAATCGACGTGTAGCAGAAGCATTTGTTAAAACTGGAAAGGTACCTTATTCACTGGGTGAAATCTGGTGTTACAAGTAGTAGCACTCCTGGTTTGTTGGGGTAATAGTACAGTTATCTAAGCCCTGCTAGCTCTAATGAGTCAATACCCTTCTCTTTCCCCTTGTTTTTGAGTGTGTTAAAAGGCTAGAATGAGTGTAAAGGTGTTAAAAAGGGTGGAGATTTTTAAAAACCCAAAACTTGAGAAACTAGTTATTGGGAGCTGCAGATTTAAGAAGGAAAATACTTACAAACAAGAATGAAGGAGAATATGAAATACACTCAAAGTCACTTTTGAGAAAGAAAAAACTCTCAGTAACTTTATTTTTTCCATCCAGATGTTGTCAAGCTTCCAAAGACTTTATCAGACCTTTCAATTTCTTTCTTTTTTTTCCTACTCTGTTGTTTAGTCTATTGAAGAATTGGAGAAAGAAATGTTGAATGGCCAGAAACTGCAGGGACCACAGACTTCTGCAGAAGTGTATCGCATCCTCAAGCAGAAAGGAATATTGGACAAGTGCGTAAGAGCAGATCAAGCAGTTCTGATACCCCTTTTTAATCTCCCTAATTCTTTCTGCATATTTGGGTTTGATATGTTCATGAAGGTAATAACCAAAAAGAAAATCACTGTAATAAGAGTAGCTTAAACCCCAGTTAAAATCAGAGAGAGAAGTGAATAGAACCTCAAAATAATGTTGGTGTAGACAGTGCTGTTAGTGTAATGGTAAATTTGTGAATGTCTTTCGGTTTGCAGAGGGTATTGTTGCTTTCTGCTACCACAGGAAGGCACAGCAAGTGTGTTTTAACATGTGAAAAGAATAAAATACATGAAAATAGAAGCTGAGCTTCCTAAAGAGACTTGTGGAGAGGCTCTACAGCTCATTGCATAGTGGTGAATTCATTACTTACCTCCAAGGAGAGGAGCTTTGTTGCTGAGGATCTGTATAGATGATCATCCAAATAGAGGTGGCTGCTTCTGCCACATGACTTCTAGCTTAGATACTGCAGTTCTCTTTCCTAATGTGACTTCCAGTTTGCTCTAGGTTAAAACCTGCCATCTGCTTCTGTAGGTCAGGAGGGTTTTGTGCTGTGAAATTAAACAGATTGCCCTGGCTTGTTCATTTGTATTTGAGTCAGAACATGTATGATTCCTAAAGCCACACACACAGTTGTTTCCTTATGAGATTAAGGGATGCATTTATCTGTTCCTGTTAGATAACTGCCAGTCAGAAGACCAAGCCATGTTACTTTTTTTTCCAAAGCAGTTTTTATAGTCTCATTTTAATGGCTCAGCTGCATTAAATTACTTACTTTCTAATATTATCTTTGGATGTAAGTCACCTAAGTCTGTCTCTGTGGTGTACAGTAATTAAGATAACTGAGAAAAAATCTAATTAAAATGCTGGCTTCATTCTTTGCTGTTTATGATTTCCTAAATGAGACAGGGTGCTGTGCTTGAAGGTTTTTTTGGTTGGTTGTTTTTTGTCCTGTCTGCCTTACAACAAATAGAGTGCATTATGGAAGACTTCTGGTTGTGTTTTTAATGAAAGACCTGAAAACAGCGTTGCTAATTTCTCTTTGGTTTGCCAGCATATGTGTGTCACTTTAACATAAAAGGTCTCATTCAACAACACTTTTGAAAGCAACTTTCATAGTGTTTTTCAAAAGTTACTGCTTGAAAACACAAAACCCAGTAAAGCAGCCATGGTTCCAAAGTGAAGAGGTAAGAGTCTGGTAAGGGGAAAATTTTACACTCTCATCCTACAAAAGGAGTCTGAAGGCTATATAGAAATATGCAAAAGTCAAAGTTCAGTGGATCCTTGGTAGCAGGGTTGATGCCTGTTGATATTTGCAGTGCAGTTACTGGTTTTCATTTCAACAGTTGTAGCCCTCTTAATGTGCTCAGGCATGAATGTGTTTGGAGTTGGCTGGCCCTGAGCCTGCAGTCAGCCTTTGGCCTGGTTTCTCCCTGTGAAGTGTGACAAACCTGTGCACAGCAGAGTTCTCTGTGATAAGCAGCAAGACTTACCAAGGTGTGGTTTGTGGTAGTAGTGCTTCTTCACTGAGAAGTAACTGCCAGTACTGTATTTAAAGCTGTGGGAAACCTGGTTTTGCTGCAGAAGGTTCATGTTTTGTGGCTGCCTCTCACCTAGGCATAACAAATTTTATTAGTGCCCACATTTAAGTTTTTATGGTAGCAGCAAATTCAACCCACCTCCAGCCCAAGATATCATACAAAGTGAGTGATAAGTGGGGCTTGTTAAGAAAGCGGAAGTCTTTGTGGAAAACTTTTTTCTGCAGATTTCTTAGTAAGGGTTTTGCAACCTAGACAGTGTAGCACTGGATTTGAGCAAGCAGCTCTGTGGCTATAGGATAATTTTGGTTCCACAGACGAAATAAAACCAAAAATAAAGTCAGTGGGATTGACCTGAAATAGTTTTTGCTATTGCTGCTATTTTCATCTATTCTCCACAAAAATAGATCAAAAGAAATGGATGTACATTTCACGGTAGGACATTAAAGAGTTTCAGATAAAAATTAAATTCTACATTTTGAATTGAGCACTTGTAATAAAAGCCATAGAAATGATGGGCTGAATTCACAAGTATATCCATTCCCCCATTTTTTCCCCCAGCAATGTGAAGTATTGCATTCAGCAAAGCAGAAATCCTGTGTCTGCCCCTGAGAATGCAGTAATCACCACGGTGTGACAGCACTCCAGGACAGCTCATGGCTTCTCTTGTGACCTCTGGCTCACTTTGAGGAGTCTAGTTTGGAGCAATGTGCTGATACCAGAGTTACCTCAGTGTAACACGTGACAGCAGAGTGTATAGGCAAGCACATACAGTGCTCAGTACTGGTTGAGTGTTCTGCTTAACACTGACCTGTGCATTTCATAAAGCTTTAGAGTGACTGATGGGACAGCTTTCCTAAGGAGGAATTCCTAATCCGGATGTGTTCTGAATCACTCAGAAATTAACTATTTCACCATCTCCAGTGCTCTTTATTTTTTATTTCTGTTGGCCACGGTTTATCAGTATAAAAGGCCATGCTGAAATGGCATATGTGTTTGATGAACAGGTAATTAATCCCTAAAATTCACCAGGCTTTGAATGAAAATGGGACTTGTCTGTCTGTCCAGGATGGACAGAAAGCAAATACAAATTTCTGTAAAGTGTCTTTGCTGTAGCAAACCCTCAGATTTTCAGAGAAACCTCAGTAATTTGAGGTTGTTAGAAATATGGCCAAATTAAAAAAAAAAAAATAGAATTTAATGTTTCAAAATCCAGGTTTATTCTCGGATTGTTATTAAAATTAAAATTCAGTCTTTTCTTGGGTCTGTTTGTGTTATATTCTGTATTACTGGATTAGTGCTCAGAGGTAATGCATAACTGATGTGCCAGTCATTGTTTTCAACCACAGATGAGAAGTGCTAGGAGAACAGCAAGGAAAGATATGAGTGGTTTTAATTTATTTTTTAGATCACTTAGAGGTTGTGCCATACATAATGAATGTTACAGGCTCCATTACAGCTCGCTGGGCTTCTGGGAGTGACCCATGTTAGAGATGCTTGTAGGTCCTGTATTTATCCAGTACTTCTCAGTCCAGAGTTAGTGCTCGACAAATAGAAAAAAGAAATTGATTTTTCAATCTCTCTTTTCTCCCTCCCTCTGCTCACCCCATTTTATTTCTTTCATTTAAGAAACTGCTATAGAATAAACTCATTCTGTGTTTGCTTTCCCCGCTCTGTTCCCTCAGGTTCCCACTATTCACGGCTGTGTATCGAATCTGCTATGAAGGGAAGCCTGTCAGAGAGATGATATCCTGCCTTCAGAGTCACCCAGAGCACATGTAAAATCAATCAGGCTGTTGTACTAACGCAGCTTTCTGCCTTTCCAATTTATATCTGGGTTCAAGTGGATGTATCTGTCATTAAACTTTGTTCAAAGCTGCTCACTAGGCAACAGTAACAACATGAATGTGTCTGAAGGGGTATGGTTTTTGTTGTACAGCCTAGTTTGGCATAGCATGCAGTGTTGGCTTGGTGATTGTCCTCTTACTGGCTAAAATACAACAATACAGAAGTTGCACTACTTACCTAGTATATATACAGAAGTGTACTTTGACTGTGTTCCTACACCATAAAACACAATGTTTTGTTGTCTCTTATTAAGGCCTAATCCAAAATCCACTGGGCACTGTGGGAAGAATCCCACTGGTTTAGATCGAAGACTGAGTCAAGCCTGTAACCTTGAAACATTAGGAGTCTTTCTGTTAGAATTTGGTTTTATTCTGTATACACAGTTAAATTTTGACATTTTGCATGCTTATCATTATATCAATTTAAGCAATGTTAATGCAAAACAGGTGGTAGCAGTTATTCAGGGGGCTACAAGGATATTTTCACGAACTCTAGTGAAGAATATTTTGATTTTTGAGAGTCTTTAAAACTGTCAGACTATTTTGAATCCAATTTCTAAGTGAATTTAAGGTTTTTAATTACACTGTTTTAAAGGGAATATTCTAGAGGGGGATCATTACCTCCCCTTCTGTTTTTTAATCCTTGCATTTTTCTATTTCTCTGTTTCTCCCTTACTGTTCCTAGATGTTAGGCTCTTCCAGAATCCCAGTCCCCAAAGCAAGCCAGAGGTGTTGACCTGAGGGTTCTGAACCCTGGAGCCTACAGTTCCTTTTAGCATTGTACCTGTGGTTGTTCTTCACTGATACTGTTTGGTGGGTGGGGAAGGATACTCTTGAGTATCCACACACAGAATTGTTCTGCTGTGTTTCTGGCCTAGCTGCGAAGTGTTGCACTCCACACAGCACTCCAAGAAATGTCAGGGGAATTCCCTGGTAGGTCATGCTTGTGTTGTCAGAAGGGTTGTGTGCCAGTACAATGACTGAGTTCATTTCAGTGCCTGCCAGTGACTGACACGTCCACTGGACCATAGTCCTGATCCATCTCCCCAGTTCTGAAGTTACTCTTTCACTGGACAAAACTCTAATGGGTGCTGAATCAAATCCTATATGACCAGTCTCCCAGAAAGCTTCTCAAAGGCATCTCTTTTATTCCCCAGGTATCTCAACTAAGTTTTTTTCAGGCACCTCTGCTTTATCAGGGAAGTTAATTTTATTTGTTGTTGGAAATTTTGTGATTTTACTATTTTGGGGTGGGGTTGACTTGGTTGGTCTTTTTTTGGATTTTTTTTTTAAGGTGGATGCAAGAGAAGTTAGATAAATGGTTTGCTTTTCTTGTATACTAAAACTTATTGGGGAGGGAGGGGGTTGTGAAATATAACCTAGGTGCATAAAGAGTGGACTCATTGTTCCAGCTGCGAGACAAAGGTTAGCATCAGTATTTACAGAGCTCAACAAGAATGCCCAGCTGCTCTGAACATCTACTAACCTCTGAGCAGTATCAGACATGTTGTTCACTGTTCTCTGTTGTGTTTGTAGACCAGAAATCATCAACACAAACCCATCCTGAGGCTTTAAGTTGTCATTCACAATGTGCTGAAACAAAGAGGATGCCTGGGAATAGTTGTCATACTTAGGTAGCCTGAATTATTCTGAAATAGGGAAGCATTGGGAAAGCTTTGTGTAGACAGAAGGACACTTCAGCCCAGGGGTACCATTTTTCGTGCTCCTTTGGAAGATCTCATGAATGTTCTCAGAAATTCAGGGATGTGAAAAGTCATTTTTGCCTTATTTCTGATTTAGTGCTAAATATAACAGATGGTCAGAAGTTAGGTAACATCAGATGTTTGTGGCAATTGAGAACATCACTGGTTGAGCTGACTTCGAGCAAGTGTCTGCTCAGACATTTCAGAGGACATCTGAAGGTTGGAAGCACTGTTATCCTAACGCACACGTGGAGCATACACTCCTCAGTACTGCATAACTTTCAGTGTGTTTGCTTGTGCTTTGTTTTGTTTTGGTTTTTTTTTAATACCAAATTGATTGGCTTTTCCTTACATGTGTACATATACATATATATATATATAAACTTTTTTTTTACATGCAGTATGTAGAACAGTAGCGTTTTGTAAGATACGTAAAGGGCTATATGAGCTAAATGTGGTAAATTAATATATATTTTTAAATTATTTCTTTATTATTCCAATATTACTTCTACCACTGAAACTCCCAAATCTTATTGTTCTTGTTTTGTACAGAAGCCTATGTTCTAAGCAAATCCAGATAAAAGGTTTTTATGGAATTCTTTTCTCCAGTCTGTTATGATATTCTTGTTTTTTTCAGACAGAAAGTGAGGTTTCACTAACTAAAATAGTTTATTTAAATTTTCATAGATTGTTCACCATTTGCATTTTCTTTCCTGTGCTTGAGAACACTCAGCTTGCCACTAGGTATTTTTCCCCCACTAACATTAACTGCTTATTAAAAGACACTGATATGGTACTGGAACTGAATGATTAGAATCCTGTTCTACAAACACTCTGTTTTGCCTAGTACTGGGACAGTCTGACTGAAAACATTAACCCCTGTGCAAGGGGTCATAAATTTGTAACTAATTCTTGAGTTATGAACATTAATTACTAAGGAAGGCATTATATTCTAATGATACTTACTCAACTTGCCCTAGACACATGTACTGATTTTGTTTAAAGATGTTGAATGTATACCTGTTTGAAGAGTTAATACAAATAAACATTTTTGTCTTGGGAGTCACTTTTGTTTCTGTTGTCTCATTTCACATGGCTTGCGATTAATATTATGTTCTCTTGATGGCATGTAGGTTTTTGTGGATATGCTATGTAATGATGGCAGATATGAGGTTACCATACATTTTAAAAAGAGCTGTTGGACATCCAGACATCAACATTTTCATTTCTGTCCATTAGTGAAACAATTATGGTGTGTTTGACCTCTAAAACAGGTTCTTCAGTTCCTTGGGTTGCTGTGGGAGCCACTGGAGGGCACTGGTCGGTAAGTGACCGATCCTGCTTGTGCTGCAGTTACTTTTCTTCCCATTTATTTCCAAATTTCGTGAGGTTCCTTTATGACCGCAGCTGTCTTACACTGTGTTCCTTGCATTTAAGATACGGTTATAGTTCAGCACCAGGTGCATGTGTTGTAGATCCACTGGAATTGAGAGCAGGCGCTTGCTATAAAATGCCCAACACCTCTGCCCAAGGCCTTGCCTTGTCTTGTCATCTAAGACCCTCCCAATACAGGGCAACAACCACTACCTCAGCTCTGGGACAATATGGTCTGTGAGATCTTTCAGCATCACTTGGGTTCCAGTGTTGTATATTCAGCAATGTTTGTTTCTGTTGCCTGTTGAAGCTGAAAAACCTTGGGAAGTAATGAGAACACGTTGTGCTCAGTTTTGTCATTTTTTACATCAGTGAAAGGAATGGGAGGTGTTACAAGTGTTTAAGCAGGGAGAGGAAGGTCTGCTACTTAGTGTGGGGCACTGTACTGGGGGTTTTTGGTGAACACAATAATGCACTCTCTACTGAAAGCCTCAAAGCATTTCATAGAAGGAGAGCAATGTCCTAATTCCTCATTTACACGTAAGAATACTGAAACAAGTAAAGGTGGCTGCCCAGCAAACCTGTAACTGGATGCATTTTATTCCTGGTTTTAAGACAGAGTTTCAGCCATTATGTCATTTCTTCTACTTTTAGCTCAAAATTATATTTATTTTAAGGTTGCATAAAATCAACTTAGTCAAATAACTATGTAGATATCTCAAACATACGATGCAAAAGGGCTTTTATTCTGGTTGGTCTGAGTCAACAGGAAAGTAAAAACTATCACAAGAGGATTAGGATGGAAACCTTTGTTTCATGTGGGCATTATCTTCTGAAAGGGGTGGTGCTTTCTCACTAAATCAATGCATACAGGCTGGGTGTCTTTCATCATCCGACTGTAAATAACAGCCAGGCTGGCCCTGAGAGATACAAGAAATATAGCAAACAAGAAGTCAGTTTCCAATGGCCTGTGCTGATGATTCTTCACAACTCTCCCAACCTGGACTTCATGGTGAGGCTGGAGACATACGAATGAAGTACATGGATTCCACAGCAGCTGATTAATGCTGAAATAAAATGTTGTCCTGGGACACATGACACTTCATGTTATTAGAAAGTGTAAAGCTGTTTATCTTCTGCCTGTCTCCTGGCAGCATGGGGTTTTCTTCTGTGATTTGCCATGAGCTGATAGAAATCTGAGTACTGAAAGGTAACACTTCTGTTTTGAATAATGGATGAGAAGAGTATCTGCCTTCAATCCCAGCGTGTGCAAAGGGGAGGTGTTTGGCATTCAGGTTAAATGAAGCATAGTTCTCTTCTCAGTCTGTTCTAACTTGATTTTAGATTCCTGCGAATAGGCTTTGGGTCGGGACTTTCAGATACCCTCAGTCTGCCAATCTAGTCCTGCTCCTATTGCAGAACTGGATTTTAAGAGGAAAACTGTAGGGTGATGCCCAGCAGAATGGTCTCTCTGTCAGAGTTCCCCATGTCTAAATTGAATTTACCTATTTTTTCTATTTACCTGTTACCCACAGTATCTGTTTTAGAGAGATTTTGAGAAGGGGAATTGTAGGGAACTTTTTTGTGAAGGGTGATCGGTAGGGTAGCTGCCAAAGTCTGCTCAGTATAACCCACATTGGGCTCTGTTATGTTAATGCTACTTGTTGTTACTACACTGCATGTTTCCTTCTCTCAGCTGGATGAGAGTCATTTAGTGGCTTTCACCCGACAGCTTTTCTTCGTGTCTGTTCCAGCTTCCCTCTCCTCTATGGCACTGCACCTATATGTGCTGTTTCGTAGTGAACTTTAAGGGTTCTTCATATCAAAAGCTGGATGTGTGTACATGCACACACATGCTCATCTATACAGGTAAGCCCCTAATTCACTCTTTTTTTTTTTTTTTTTAATGTTTGTGTGCACAAGTAAGCCTTATGGGAAGCTGGGAATTTTGAACAGGATTTTAGTGAGGCCACCAAGAGGACTGACATTCTTTGCACTACTGGCTGTGAAGCTAGTGCACAGCTGTCTACAGTGTCTAGGATGGCAGTAAGTCAGCTTGGAATAATTGAAAACTGATACTATTTTGGGGGAACAGTATCACATCTATGCTACTGGTTATGGAAGCTCTGAAATGCCATGTTTGTAAAAAAATAGTGCATATTTCATGTTCAGGTCAAAATAGTAGTGACATCAACTGAAGTATTTTGCCCTTTCTTCCTCCAAACCTAGGTTCACTGTAAACCCCATTCTTGTCATGGA